GGTGAAGGAAAAGCAGCCAACAAGTGCTCAGCATATGTGGGAACTCCTTCAAGACTGTTGGAAAAGCATTCCAGGTGAAGATGGTTGAGAGAATGCCAAGGGTGTGCAAAGCTGTCATCAAGGCAAAGGATGGCTATTTGAATATATTTTGATTTGTTTAACACTTTTTTGGTTACTACATGATTCCATATGTGTTATTTCATAGTTTTGATGTCATCACTATTATTCTACAATGTAGAAAATAGCAAGAAATAACAAAACAATCCTTGAGTGAGTAGGTGTTTCCAGACTTTTGACTGGTACTGTATGTCAGCTATGGCATTGTGAAATTATTTTTAATAAGGATTGTTACCAGAGGGTTTTGTTTTTGTACAATGTCTCAGTTTTACTTTGAACTTTTTGACTTCTCAAGTAATGACAAACAGTACATAAATGACACTTCTGACAGTGAAACCCACAGGCAGAAAGTGTAATACAATAAGAAAATAACCTGAATTTTTTTAAATAATCTATTTCAGAGTACTTTACAGACACTTAGAAGGATACGACAAGACAATTTCACTTCCCGGCAAAATTACTCAACACAGCCAAATTACACAGAATTTTAAAAAACGCACTCACAAAACAAAAGAGATTATGATCCATTGATAAAATATGATTTTCTCTGAAACCAGGATGGGAAACCACCTGAATTGTAGCGCTTCTGATGGTGTGGGTGAAATATGACTAGATTGAAGTGGGCTTAGGCCTAGATCTAGAGTATGAAGTATGCTGTAAACGCCCCCGACCTTAGCTACATTCTCTGTCTGTCCCCACACACTAAAGCCACAACAAAGTATTTCACACCATCATTTGCCATGGCTCTGGGTTCTCTTTTCATGAGTCATGGTCATTACGGTAACCCTGGCATCCACTGTTTTACTGGATCTTATCATCTGCCTAATGTAATAGTGTTAATTAATTTGGTTTAAAGATGCACTATGCAGAATTCACTCCACCATTTCCTGGTTGCTAAAATTCTAACAGTTCACCTAATTTCAGTTTCTGTGACAAAACAAGCAAGAATAGTGTAGATAATCATTGTACCATCTAAACCGATGTGAAATATATTTTCCATGTTTGAAGCTGGTGTATAAAACAGAAAGTAAAAGACGCAAAAACGAAACTTAAGAACGGGAAGCATAGAAATAGTGCACATAGAACAGATCTACCGCTTCTTAGACTAGCTTTCAATGAGAATGACAGATATATAACACACATTTCTATGTGAATTTGGTTAGGTCGCCCAAAAAGTTACAAATTGCAGCTTTAATCAATACAGTGCCTTCAGAAAGTATTCAAACCCCTTGACTTATTCCACATTTTGTTGTGTTACAGCCTGAATTCAAAATTGATAACATTTATTTTTATTTTTGTCTCACCCATCTACACACATTATCCCATAATAAAAAAAGTGAAAAGATATTTTTAGGGATTTATGCTAATTTATTGAAAATGAAACATATCTCATTTACATACACTATATGACCAGAAGTATGTGGACACCTGCTCGTCTCATTCCAAAATCATGGGCATTAATATGGAGTTGGTCCCCCCTTTGCTGCCATAACAGCCTCCACTCTTCTGGGAAGGCTTTCCACTAGATGTTGGAACATTGTTGCGGGGACTTGCTTCCATTCAGCCACAAGAGCATTAGTGATGTCGGGCACTGATGTTGGGCGATTAGGCCTGGCTCGCAGTCGGCATTCCAATTAATCCCAAAGGTGTTCAATGGGGTTGTGGTCAGGGCTCTGTGCAGGCCAGTCAAGTTCTTCCACACCAATCTCGACAAACCATTTCTGTATGGACCTCGCTTTGTGCATGGGGGCATTGTCATGCTGATACAGGAAAGGGCCTTCCCCAACTGCTGCCACAAAGTTGGAAGCACAGAATCGTCTAGAATATCATTGTTTGCTGTAGCGTTAAGATTTCCCTTCACTGGAACTAAGGGCCCTAGCCTGAACCATAAAAAACAGCCCCAGACCATTATTCCTCCTCCACCAAACTTTACAGTTAGCACTATGCATTGGGGCAGGTAGCGTTCTCCTGGCATCCGCCAAACCCAGATGAATCCGTTGGAGTGTCAGATGGTGAAGCGTGATTCATCACTCCAGAGAACGCATTTCCACTTCTCCAGAGTCCAATGGCGGAGAGCTTTACACCACTCCAGCCGACGCTTGGCATTGCACATGGTGATCTTAGGCTTGTGTGCGGCTGCTCTGCCATGGAAACACATTTCATGAAGCTACTGATGAACAGTTATTATGCTGACTTTGCTTCCAGAGGCAGTTTGGAACTCGGTAGTGAGTGTTGCAACCGAGGACTGATGATTTTTACGCGCTACCCGCTTCAGTACTCGGCAGTCCCGTTCTGTGAGCTTGTGTGGCCTACCACTTCACGGGTGAGCCGTTGTTGCACCTAGACTATTCCATTTCACAATAACAGCACTTACAGTTGACCGGGGCAGCTTTAACAGGGCAGAAATTTGACAAACTGACTTCTTGGAAAGGTGGCATCCTATGACGTGCCACATTGAAAGTCACTGAGCTCTTCAATAAGGCCATTCTACTGCCAATGTTTGTATAAGGAGATTGCATGGCTGTGTGCTCGATCTTATACACCTGTCAATAATGGGTGTGGCTGAAATAGCCGAATCCACTTATTTGAAGGGATGTCCACTGTGGCACCTTTGGCAGCGATTGAAGCTATGAGTCTTTCTGGGTCAGTCTCTAAGAGCTTTGCACACCTGGATTGTACAATATTTGCACATTATTATTTTTTAAATTCTTCAAGCTCTGTTATTTTGCTTGTTGAACATTGCTAGACAACCATTTTCAGGTCTTGCCATAGATTTTCAAACAGATTTAAGTCAAAACTGTAACTCTGCCGCTCAGGAACATTCACTGTTTTCTTGGTAAGCAACTCCAGTGTAGATTTGGCCTTGTGTTGTAGGTTATTGTCCTGCTGAAAAGTGAATTAATCTCCCAGCGTATGGTGGAAAGCAGACTGAACCAGGTTTTCCTCTAAGATTGAGTTTCTTTTTTATCCTGAAAAACGTCCGTCCTTAATGATGACAAGCATACAAATAACATGATGCAGCCACCCATATGCTTGAAAATATGGAGAGTGGTACACATGTAATGTGTTGTATTGGATTTGCCCCAAACATAAAACTTTGTATTCAGGACAAAAAGTTAATTGCTTTGCCACATTTTTTGCAGTATTATTTTAGTGCCTTGATGCAAACAGGATGCATGTTTTGGAATATTTTTTATTCTGTACAGGCTTCCTTCTTTTTACTCTGTCAATTAGGTTAGTATTATGGAGTAACTGTAATTTTGTTTATCCATCCTCAGTTTTGTCATATCACAGTCATTAAACTCTGTAAATGTTTTAAAGTCATCATTGGCCTCATGGTGAAATCCCTGAGCGGTTTCCTTCTTCTCCGGCAACTGAGTTAGGAAAGACACCTGCATCTTTGTAGTGACTGGGTGTATTTATACACCATCAAAAGTGTAATTAATAACCATGCTCAAAGGGATATTCCATGTCTGCTTTTTGTGTTTGTACCCATTCACAAATAGGTGCCCTTCTTTGCGAGGCATTGGAAAACCTCCCTGGTCTTTGTGGTTGAACCTTTGTTTGAAATTCACTGCTTGACTGAGGGACCTTACAGATAATTTTATGTGTGGGGTATGGAGATGAGGTAGTCATTCAAAAATCATGCAGAACACTATTATTTCACAGAGTCCATGCAACTTATTATGTGACTTGTTAAGCACATTTTTACTCCTGAACTTATTTAGGCTTGCCATAACAAAGGGGCTGAATACTTACTGACTCAAGACATTTCATTTTTTCATTTTTTATTAATTGGTAAAAAATCTCTAAAAGCATAATTCCATGTTGACATTATGGGGTGTTGTGTGTAGGCCAGTGATACAAAATCTAAATGTAATCAATTTTAAATGTAGGCTGTAACACAACAAAGTCAGCATTGTAACCACTTCGGCCCACAGCAAAGCTCTTAATACATTTGATTCAAAGCAAATATCCCTCAATATGTTTTTAAGCTACTGGTCATGATGTGATTACAATTGTCACACAATATATACACTGAGAGTACAACACTTTAGGATTACCTGCTCTTTCCATGAAATAGACTGAAAAGGTGAATCCAGGTGAAAGCTATGAACCCTTATTGATGTCACTTGTTAAATCCACTTCAATCAGTTTAGATGAAGGGGAAGAGACAGGTTAAAGAAGGAGTTTTAAGCCTTTGTAACAATTGAGACATGTATTGTGTATGTGTGCCATTCAGAGGGTGAATGGGCAAGACAAAATATTTAAGTGCCTTTGAACGGGGTATGGTAGTAGGTGCCAGGCGGACTGGTTTGAGTGTGTCAAGAACTGCAATGCTGCTGGGTTTTTCATGCTCAACAGTTTCCCGTGTGTATCAAGAATGGTCCACCACCCAAAGGACATCCAGCCATCTTGACACAACTGTAGGAAGCATTGGAGTCAACATGGGCCAGCATCCCTGTGGAACGCTTTCGACACCTTGTAGAGTCCATGCCCCGACTAATTGAGGCTTTTCTGAGGGCAAAAAGGGGTGCAACTCCATAATCAATACAGTGCCTTCAGAAAGTATAGGTGTTCCTAATGTTTTGTAGACTCAGTGTACATTAGTTGTCTCATATTAACAGAGAGAAAGACATTGGTAGCATTGCACTGCTTGCCTCATCTCCAAAATAATAAGTCCTGTAATTAAGAATGATAAACACATATGTTGAGTTAGTGGCTTTTACCAAAAAATAATACATATGTTGTGGAATTAGAATACTTTTGTTTTGACACTGTGTTGACTCGTTCATTCATTGGTTGAGAGATCTTTGACTGTATAGGTATAGCCTACCCATAGAGTATAAAACGGCTGCAGAGCGCGGCCCTCTCTAGATATGGAAAAACTACAAATCCCAGGAAGCATTGGAAAGATCGGGAGCATTGGCACCGCCATGTTGCTGCAGACTGCGTGAGGTCCTCGCTCGCAATTTGGGAAGGTTTTGTGAAAGCCTTTGGAGAACTACTTCTCGAGACAAGAGTACAACAATAAATTACGTAATTTTCATTCCATTCGTTGGTTTTTACAGACATCTTTGATTAGAATGGGTAATGGGCTCAATAAGGTATGTTATTCGTTGATATACAGCCTATATGCATGCGCTCCCAACAAAGTTTACGCACGGTCTCCGAGTACACTAGTTCTGTAGACCGGAGGTTTCAATTAATTATACGATCAGTCAAGAACGCGTAGTTAACTGTGTTTAATGTGTGCGTTCTATTGGTGCTGTAAAAACGTATTACATCTAATTTATTATATTGAATCAGGTGCACAATTGCATGATATCATTTCCACTTTATGCCATAAGATTGTCAGTTTGCTGCTGTATGTACTGTACACTGTACACTTTAATTAATCTAGCTGTCTATCAAAGCAGCTTTCACACACACCCGGTGTGTAGGCATTGTGCTTTTACATTCCAACTCCTTGGCTACACAGTGGACAGACTTCTGTTAAAAATGATCATGGAACGCAAACCACATTTGCTGATATTACTTGTTCTGGGTGTAATGCATTGCTGTGTGTTATCACGTACTGTAGGCTACATGTCATTATGGATACTTTAGCAATTTACCTTCTCAAATGTTGGCTTGGTACCGTGTGTGTGTGTGTGTGTGTGTGTGTGTGTGTGTGTGTGTGGTGTGTGTGTGTGGTGTGTGTGTGTGTGTGTGTGTGTGTGTGTGTGTGTGTGTGTGTGTGTGTGTGTGTGTGTGATGTGTGTGTGTGTGTGTGTGTGTGTGTGTGTGGTGTGTGTGTGTGTGTGTGGTGTGTGTGTGTGTGTGTGTGTGTGTGTGTGTGTGTGTGTGTGTGTGTGGTAAAAGTATGTGTCCCTCATCCTGCAGCTGGAACAACACTGATGAGGGGTGCAGAGAGTTTTTTCAATCAACATGAGTTGATGACACCTGTTGTGTACAAACACACACACACACACACACACACACACACACACACACACACACACACACACACACACAGATCCTCCATTAACATTCCTTATTATCACCATAATTTGTGTGGAGTCAGAGTAACAAGTATCAGTTGTCTGAACTCACTGTCCTCTGGTATTTGGTGTCAAACTAAATACACCGTCCCTGCACCTCCATGTTGTCTTTCCTTGAGTACACAGGCTATATATTTGAGTTTCATCTTTGCTGTCGATAATGGTAGAATAGGCCCGGGGGCTTGTGTTTTGAGTAGCAACATGGTTGCTTAGCCTAGTTATTTGGAAAATGAATGAAATGCTTGTTGTAATTATGTTAGGTTTATGAACACTGATGAATGAATGTAAACAACAGGTCACACATTAATATTCAATGCTTACCTTCCCATAGGTCCTGCCTGACTTGTACTTGGGAAACTTCAAAGGTATGTGTTTCTTCCACACTCTACTGGTCAAAGGCTTGAGCTAAGGATAAGACAAATGAAGACACCCCTTCACTGTTTTCCCTTCCAGTACATTTCAGTGGCACATTCATATTTAAGAACATTCTATGAATATTTCTAGATGATTCATGAATGTGTTTGTCATTCAATAATTTTTTCCACAGATGCGAGGGACAGGGAACAGTTAGCGAGGAACAACATCACACACATCCTCTCTATCCATGATAGTGCAGCCCCTATCCTGCCGGTAAGAAAACAATTCCCAGGGGACCATTTGCTAGAACAAAAAAAGCTAAATACCACCTCAGAGATGTTTTCTGCATGAGGCTATTATACGAATGTACACATGATGTAATGATACCTGACACATGCATTTATACATATTAATTAATGCTTCTCCCGTATCATGCACACCTAAAATCCAGTTTCAAAATACAATTTAGATTAATGATAAACATATAAATCATGTTATCATCGAAATATGCAGACAGTTTGTTTAAGGAAATAAATTGCACTTATGACAGTCATGGGAAGAGTATGGGGCATGTTTTCCGCTGGACCTGTCTGTCAGGTAATTCCAGACCGCAGTATGAGAGTGTGGCTTAGTGTGTAACATTAGACTATGCCCCATCCCAAACAAAACAGGTTCACATGACTTCAATAGAAATAATCTGTTGGAGCCTGAATGAGCTCTGTGGGAGAGTGTAGGCAGAGAGTGGGCAGCAGAGAGGAGTTTTCATTTGAGTTTCTGACCCAGTGCTCTGGCTCGAGCTTGTGTGGGATTTAGTGTTCTCGCATTCTACTACTCCCAATAGCAACTAGCAAGGTCTGTCCCCTTCCATCACTTCCTCACTACAGCTACAATCACACCATCACAAACACAGCCTATAGGAAAGGCCCTTGTGTGTAAGCTTACATAATGGTTCTTGTTGTTTGCAGAAACACCTGTAAGACTGAGGATTCAGCATGATGTAATAGTTTGTAGTGAGTGGTGTTTACAACGATCCTGTTGGTATACTTTGCCTATTAGATTGTGATTGTGTTAGACCATATAACAGTTGGCTGTTGTCCTGCAGGATATTACCTATCTGTGCATCTCAGCAGCAGACCTGCCCACACAAAATCTGTAAGTACCCGAACACACAGCACCACACAGTACAGTAGTGGCCAAAAGTTTTGAGAATGACACAAGTATTGGTCTTCACAAAGTTTGCTGCTTCAGTGTTTTTAGATATTTTTGTCAGATGTTACTATGGTATACTGAAGTATAATTACAAGCATTCCATAAGTGTCAAAGGCTTTTATTGACAATTACATTAAGTTTATGCAAAGAGTCAATATTTGCAGTGTTGACCCTTCTTTTTCAAGACCTCTGCAATCCGCCCTGGCATGCTGTCAATTAACTTCTGGGCCACATCCTGACTGATGGCAGTCCATTCTTACATAATCAATGCTTGGAGTTTGTCAGAATTTGTGGGTTTTTGTTTGTCCACCCGCCTCCTTGAGGATTGACCACAAGTTCTCAATGGGATTAAGGTCTGTGGAGTTCCTTGGCCATGGACCCAAAATGTCAATGTTTTGTTCCCTGAGCCACTTAGTTATCACTTTTGCCTTATGGCAAGGTGCTCCATCATGCTGGAAAATGCATTGTTTGTCACAACTGTTCTTGGATGGTTGGGATAAGTTGCTGTGTTGGTACCATTCCTTATTCATGGCTGTGTTCTTAGGCATAATTGTGAGTGAGCCCACTCCCTTGGCTGAGAAGCAACCCCACACATGAATGGTCTCAGGATGCTTTACTGTTGGCATGACACAGGACTGATGGTAGCGCTCACCATGTCTTCTCCGGACAAGCTTTTTTCCGGTTGCCCCAAACAATCAGAAAGGGGATTCATCAGAGAAAATGACTTTTCCCCAGTCCTCAGCAGTCCAATCCCTGTACCTTTTGCAAAATATCAGTCTGTCCCTGATGTTTATTCTGGAGAGAAGTGGCTTCCTCGCTGCCCTTCTTGACACCAGGCCATCCTCCAAAATTATTCGCCTCACTGTTCGTGCAGATGCACTCACACCTGCCTGCTGCAATTCCTGAGCAAGCTCTGCACTGGTGGTGCCCCGATCCCGCAGCTGAATCAACTTTAGGAGACGGTCCTGGCGCTTGCTGGACTTTCTTCTTCTTTTTCGCCCTGAAGCCTTCTTCACAACAATTGAACCTCTCTCCTTGAAGTTCTTGATGATCCGATAAATGGTTGATTTAGGTGCAATCTTACTAGCAGCAATATCCTTGCCTGTGAAGCCCTTTTTTGTGCAAAGCAATGATGACGGCACGTGTTTCCTTGCAGGTAACCATGGTTAAAAAAGGAAGAACAATGATTCAAGCACCACCCTCCTTTTAAAGCTTCCAGTCTGTTATTCTAACCCAATCAGCATGACAAAGTGATCTCCAGACTTGTCCTCGTCAACACGCTCACCTGTGTTAATGAGAGAATCACTGACATGATGTCAGCTGGTCCTTTTGTGGCAGGGCTGAAATGCAGTGGAAAAGTTTTTTTGGGTTTAAGTTCATTTTCATGGCAAAGAGGGACTTTGCAATTAATTGCAATTCATCTGATCACTCTTCATAACATTATTGTGACGAGGTGTGAAAGAAGGAGTCAGGCGCAGGAGGTAAAATACCGAAGTCCAGAGTTTAAACCGTTTGCATAAATGGCGATGGTGGAAATCCCTCAACAGGGAGGGATCGAGGATGTCCCGCCTTTGGACCCAGCACCGTTCCTCCGGACCATACCCCTCCCACTCCACAAGATACTGAAGGCCCCCCACCCGACGCTTCGAATCCAGGATGGAACAGACCGAGTACGCCGGGCCCCCCTCAATGTCCAGAGGAGGTGGAGGAACCTCCCGTACCTCAGACTCCTGGAGCGGACCAGCTACCACCAGCCTGAGGAGAGACACATGAAACGAGGGGTTAATACGGTAATCTGGGGGGAGTAACAACCTGTATGTCACCTCGTTTATTCTCCTCAGGACTTTAAACAGCCCCACAAACTGCGTGCTCAGCTTCCGGCAGGGCAGGCGGAGGGGCAGATTCCGGGTCGAGAGCCAGACCCGATCCCCCGGTATGAACACCGGGGCCTCCCTGCGGTGGCGGTCAGCATTGTCCTTCTGACGACGCACAGCGAGCTGGAGGCAAACGTGGGCAGCGTCCCAAGTCTCCTCCGCGCGCCGAAACCAGTCATCCACTGCGGGAGCCTCGGTCTGGCTCTGGTGCCACGGTGCCAGGACCGGATGGTACCCCAAAACACATTGGAAGGGTGTTAGGTTAGTGGAGGAGTGGCGGAGAGAGTTCTGAGCATATTCTTCCCATGGCAGGAACACCGACCACTCCCCCGGCCGGTCCTGACAGTAAGTCCGCAGGAACCTACCCACATCTTGATTCACCCTTTCCACCTGCCCATTGCTCTTGGGGTGAAAACCAGAGGTCAGGCTGACCGAGACCCCCAGACGTTCCATGAACGCCTTCCAGACTCTAGACGTGAACTGGGGACCTCGGTCAGACACTATATCCTCTGGTACCCCGTAGTGCCGGAAGACGTGAGTAAACAGAGCCACCGCAGTTAGTAGGGCCGTGGGGAGACCGGGCAGAGGATGGAGGCGGCAGGACTTTGAAAAGCGGTCCACAACGACCAGGATAGTGGTGTTACCTTGGGAGGGGGGAAGATCAGTGACAAAATCAATACTCAGGTGAGACCATGGTTGTTGTAGAACTGGTAAAGTTTGTAGCTTACCCGCTGGGAGGTGCCTAGGTGCCTTACTCTGGGCGCACACTGAGCATGAGGAAACATACACCCTCACGTCCTTAGCTAAGGTAGGCCACCAGTACTTCTCTGTCAGGCAGCGCATTGTACGACTGATACCTGGATGACCAGAGGAGGGTGACGTGTGTGCCCAGTAGAACAGACGATCACGGATAAGCGCAGGCACGCACTGCAGCCCAGCTGGACACTGCGGTGGAGATGGATCTGTGTGTAATGCCTGCCCTATATCTGCGTCCATCGCCCATACTACCGGCCCAACAATGCGCCGGGAGTATGGGGGTGTTGTCTCTGGGCCTCTCCTCTGTGTCATACAGCCGAGACAGTGCGTCTGCCTTCACGTTCTTCATACCCGGAATGTATGAGAGTGTGAAATCAAACCGGGTGAAGAAGAGGGCCCATCTGGCCTGGCAAGGATTCAGCCTCCTCGCTGCCCAAATGTACTCCAGGTTATGGTGGTCTGTCCAGACGAGGAAAGGGTGTTTCGCCCCTTCGAGCCAATGTCTCCACACCGTCAAAGCTCGGACAACAGCCAGCAGCTCCCGATCACCAACGCCGTAGTTCTGCTCCGCCGAGCTGAGCTTGTTAGAAAAGAAGGCACAGGGGCGGAGCTTGGGTGGCGTGCCCGAGCGTTGGGATAAGACAGCTCCCAACGCTCCTATCCCTACCTCGGACATATCAATCTCCACTACGAAAGGTAGTGATGGATCGGGGTGAGCCAGTACCAGGGCGGAGGTGAACAGACCCCGCAATCTACTGAAGGCCAAATCAGCCTCAGCAGACCAGCGGAGCCGGGACGGCCCACCCTTGAACAAGGAGGTAATGGGAGCTGTGACCTTGCCAAAGCCCCGAATAAACCTTCGATAGTAGTTGGCAAAGCCAAGGAAGCGCTGCACCTCCTTTACCATGGTTGGAGTTGGCCAATTTACGCACGGCTGCAAGGCGGTCTTCCTCCATCTCCACACCTGTGGTGGTAATGCGATATCCGAGGAAGGAGATTGACTGCTGGAAAAACTCACACTTCTCTGCCTTGGCATTAAGATCATTTTCCAGCAGTCGGACCAGTACTTTGCGAACCAGGGACACATGCTCGGCGCGCGTAGCGGAATACACCAGGATGTCATCGATGTAGACCACCACACCGCGACCAAGCATGACCGGAAACACCTCGTTCACAAAGGACTGGAAAACAGATGGAGCATTCATCAAACCGTAGGGCATCACCAGGTATTCATAATGCCCCGAGGTTGTGCTGAATGCTGTTTTCCACTCATCCCCTTCCCGAATACGCACCATGTTGTAGGCACTCCTGATGTCTAATTTGGTGAAAGAACGGGCCCCATGCATTGACTCAATCGCTGAAGGAATGAGTGGAAGAGGATAACTAAATCGTACCGTCACATTATTCAGTGGTCGATAATCAATGCACGGGCGTAAACCGCCATCTTTCTTCTTCACAAAGAAGAAACTCGAGGAGGCAGGTGAAGTGGAGGGACGTATATGCCCCTGGCGCAGGGACTCGGTGACGTATATTTCCACAGCCTCCGTTTCAGCCTGCGACAGGGGATACACATGACTCCTGGAAGGTACAGTGTCTACCCGAAGGTTTATCGCGCAATCCCCCTTCCGATGAGGTGGTAATTTAGTCGCTTGCGTCTTGGATAACGCGAGCACCAGATCATGGTATTCGGGGGGAATGCGCACGGTGGGGGTACCGTCTGGACTTTCCACCGTGGTCGCACCAATGGAAACACCTAGAGACCTACCCGGACACTCACGCGACCACCCCGTAAGAACCCTCTGCAGCCATGAGAAATTGGGGTTGTGAAGGGCTAACCACGGGATACCCAAGACCACAGGGTAAGCAGGAGACTCAATAATCATAAAGGTGATCTGCTCAACATGTGTCTCCTGCATAATCATGGTGACTGGTACCGTAACTTCCTTAACCAACCCGGAGCCTAATGGTCGACTATCAAGTGCTCTGATGGGGAGTGGAATGGTTAGGGGAACCAATGAAATGCCTTGACGGTGTGAAAATGCCCTGTCCATAAAATTCCCAGCTGCCCCTGAATCGACTAGCGCCTTACACTGGGAACCTACCAAGTTATCGGGAAAGGAGATAGATAAAGTACAGTGCCACAAAGGGCTCTGAATACGTTTGGGTGTTCGTTATCTGGGGTGATGCGTGAGTACCCTGCCTACCGCCTCCAGACCCAAAAGAACGTTGACTGCGATGTGAGGTGGATTGTCCCTTCGTGCCACCAGAGTGGCACTGTCGCTGTCCTCCTGCACTCTCTCCACCGGCGGCTCCCCCCAGCTCCATCTGCTCGGGGTCAGAGTCGTCCGGAGTGGGAACGGGCAGACCCCTACCAGGATGTCCTCTGGCTGCTAGCAGATTGTCCAGCCGGATGGCCATGTCCACCAGTTGGGAGAACGGTCGTTCCACCCAGACCCCGCTGCCAGCGTCCGGAACTCCAGCGCGTATTCCTGAGCGGTCCTCGTACCCTGCCTCAGATGAACCAGTCGTTCGCCCGCCTCAGGCGGATGATCAAAAATGGCCAAAAAGAGGCGAGCAAACTCCTTGTAGTTCTCCAGAAGAGAAGGTATCGTCCTCATTTCCTGCCTTTGTGGGAGAGCCCTGGAGTGGGCCAACGCAGTCTGGAACGAGGGAGGTACCGCGTTGGCCCACTCCAGGGCTCTCCCACAAAGGCAGGAAATGAGGACAGATACCTTCTCCCGCTCCCGGGGCTCCGGCCGGATGCTGGAGAAATACAACTCCAGTTGGAGTAGGAATCCCTTACATCGCGCTGCCGTCCCATCAAACACCGGTGGCCGGGATATCTGGATCACTCCAGGGGCTGGGGTGTAGGTGGCTGGATCCGATTGACCAGCTGGTTTCGATAGATCGGATCCTCTCCTCTCCGGGCGTTCTACCACCTGAAGAACCCGATCCATCGCTTCCCCCAAGCTGGCCAACATCGAGGAATGCTCCTGGACCCTTGCCACAACTCCAGGCATGCGGTCTTCTCCTGCTGACTCCAAATCAGATCAGGTGAGTGATTCTGTGACGAGGTGTGAAAGAAGGAGTCAGGCGCAGGAGGTGAAATACCAAATTCCAGAGTTAATCCATTTGCATAAATCAAACACTCCAAGCGTCAAACGAAACTATACAAGGGAAAATATCCACCTTGGCAATAACACAGTGAAATGTAGCTCAACCGAGCTACACGCTCTCACAACAAACAATCACTCACAAAGACAAGGGGAACAGAGGGAACACTTATACACGTACTAATTAGGGGAATGAGCACCAGGTGTGTGTGATTGACAAGGCATGACAAGTGGAGTAATGGGAATGGGATCGGCAGTAGCTAGTACTCCGGTGACGACGAACGCCGAAGCCTGCCCGAACCAGGAGTGGGGGCAGCCTCGGCGGAAGTCGTGACAATTCTGGAGTATATGCAAATTGCCATCATAAAAATCGAGGCAGCAGACTTTGTGAAAATTAATATTTGTGTCATTCTCAAAACTTTTGACCACGTCTGTACACAAGGCTACCGGGTACAGAACAGAACAGCACAGGACAGAAGTGTAGTAGACCATTCAGATCCATTTTATCCAGCAGACACACTCTGTGTGGGCGTCTCTAGTTCATGTTCTACTGGTATGAAAATTATGTGCTTCACATGCTCACCATTTAACTGTGAATCAAATCACTGAATAAATGACAAGGTGATTAAGCTTCTTATTTCTCTATTGAGAAAACATGGAGGGATTTTTACACATTAGGATAAAGACACAAACACATGCAGATATGTACTGAGCACCCATAACAACATATAGTATACATACATACGTGGATAAATAATGCTGAAACACGCACACACACACACATTTACTCTGGTTAAGTGCGTAGAATGCAGGAGGTCTGGTCCTCTAATGTGCAGGAAGGAACAGGACGTCTCTGGTTCTGTACTGCAGTGTTGCCTCGCCCATCTGCACTACGCCTCTATTTTTATAACACCCCCCAAAACACACACACACACACAGATGTCGCTGTCATCACCGCTGTTACCCCCACGCTTCGACGCTCCAGCACGGTGTGAAACCTACAGGCGAAATGTGAAACTGGCCCTGGCTAACCAGAGATGGACACAGACACCACTTTCTCATCCTGGTCCTGTCAGGAGGATAGATGGATGGCCCTAGAGCTTAGTAGAACACACCCATCCTCACCCCTACGGCCCTCCCCTCACCCATACCCTTCACCGCTCGCACACCCTTACCCACTCATCACCCCACTTTTTATGACTAGGGTGGGGGGCCCGTTTTACTGCTTTTTTGGCGATTTTAATGTTACTTGTCGTATGTGCTTTCTCTTCCACAACTGATACAATTGTGTTACCATTGTGGGAATGGTAACTGGTTTGTAACTTTTTTATGAGCTGCTTATGACCTTACATAACCTGTATTTGTGTCATTCTCAGGACAAAGCACTTTAAACAGAGCATCATGTTCATGCACGAGTCACGTCTGAAAGGAGAGGGTTGTTTGGTCCACTGGTGAGAATCTTTATAAAATACAAAACAACTTTATTTGTCCAACTGCTACTGTATCTCTGGGTTTAACTGAGTGCTCACAAGTGAACCCATGTGTGACTATGATACGCAGCAGATAGATAGATAACGCAGAATGCTATTCTTGAACTTCCCCAAACAGCAATCTTGATTTGAATGTATTGTGTTGGTTAAACTATCTGAGGTATATCTGGTGAGGTTAAGGGTCTTCTGAGAAATACAGAGGAAGACTTTCCTTTATATTCAATTTCTAATGTTGCCTCCACAGCACACCCTCTATCTTTGACTTCCAATTCGATGTATTGTCTAATATGACCTTTTGCTGATTTCCTTTATCTCTATCATGGCCATACCCACTCCTATCCATCTCTCCTTAACCATCCATCCCTCTCTCCATGCAGTCTGGCGGGTGTGTCTCGGAGTGTCACCCTGGTGGTGGCCTACATCATGACGGTGACAGGGCTGGGCTGGCAGGAGGCTCTGGCTGCTGTGAGGGTGGCTCGGCCCTGCGCCGGGCCCAACCTGGGCTTCCAGCACCAGCTCCAGGAGTTTGAGACCACTCACGCTGACCAGGTCAGTACAGAGGGGGATAGAGGGAGGATAGATTGGAAAATGTCACTCTTGGAGGAAAATGGAAGTTCAATAAAAAGTTACTTATCATCATAAAAGTATGTGTTAAAAGGTCCAATTCAGCAGTTTTTATCTCAATATCAAATCATTTCAATTAGGTACCTTACTGTGATTGTTTTCAATTAAAATGGTCAAAAAGGAACAAGAAAAGCTTCCCCTGCAATTCTACACATTTTGGTATCATATGCAATCCGGGTGCCCGTTTGGTAATCCGGCCATGTTTGGAACTCTCTTTCTTATTGGTCTATTAACTAATTTACCGCCTGGTGATGTCACCAAAACAGGCTGAAATTTCAGGCAGTCTTTTCAAACAGCTCTTGCACTAAAAGGGCATTATCATAATTTTCACAATTTCACAGTATTATTCCAACCTCATAATGTGGAATATACAGCTGTGGAAAAAATTAAGAGACCACTGCAATTATTTCTTAAATCAGCATCTCTACATGTATGACAGCCATTCATTTTACGCTCTTATCCATTCCATTCCATTCCAGTGTCTGTTGAATTCCAACACAGGCACACCTCATTCTACTGAATTAGGTACTGATTAGGTGATCACATCAACCAAATCTTATTTAACAAGGAAAAGTATAAAAACCACTGCTGTGGTCATCACTATCCTCTTGCAATAGGACCAGCTGGATGGCAAAAACAGTGCTAATAGTACCTCAAAAGTAATATTAATCAAAAACTAACTATTGACCATGCCAAAAGAGTTGAAAAGGAAAGTTTTGAGTGAGGAAAAGAAGGGTTCAATTCTGGCTTTACTGGCAGAGGGATACAGTGAGCGTCAGGTTCCTTCCATCCTTAAAATGTCAAAAACGGCGGTTCATAAGAACAAGGTCAAGCAGCAGACATTGGAGACAACAAAGCTACAGACCGGCAGAGGGCGAAAACGACTCTCTACTGACCGGGATGACCGCCAACTCATTCGAATGTCACTCAACAACCGTAGGATGACATCAAGTGACCTACAAAAAGAATGGCAAACGGCAGCTGGAGTGAAGTGCACGGCGAGGACAGTTCGAAACAGGCTCCTAGGGACAGGGCTGAAGTCGTGCAAAGCTAGAAAAAAGCCCTTCATCAATGAGAAGCAAAGAAGAGCCAGGCTGAGGTTTGCAAAAGACCATAAGGATTGGACCGTAGAGGACTGGAGTAAGGTCATCTTCTCTGATGAGTCCAATTTTCAGCTTTGCCCAACACCTGGTCGTCTAATGGTTAGACGGAGACCTGGAGAGGCCTACAAGCCACAGTGTCTCGCACCCACTGTGAAATTTGGTGTGAAATTTGGTGATGATCTGGGGGTGCTTCAGCAAGCCTGGAATCGGGCAGATTTGTCTTTGTGAAGGACGCATGAATCAAGCCACGTACAAGGTTGTCCTGGAAGAAAACTTGCTTCCTTTTGCTCTGACTTTGTTCCCCAACTCTGAGGATTGTTTTTTTCAGCAGGACAATGCGCCATGCCACACAGCCAGGTCAATCAAGGTGTGGATGGAGGACCACCAGATCAAGACCCTGTCATGGCCAGCCCAATCTCCAGACCTGAACCCCATTGAAAACTTCTGGAATGTGATCAAGAGGAAGATGGATGGTCACAAGCCATCAAACAAAGCCGAGCTGCTTGAATATTTGCGCCAGGAGTGGCATAAAGTCACCCAACATCAATGTGAAAGACTGGTGGAGAGCATGCCAAGACGCATGAAAGCTGTGATTGAAAATCAGGGTTATTACACAAAATATTGATTTCTGAACTCTTCCTAAGTTAAAACATTACTATTGTGTTGTTTAAAAATGAACATGAACTTATTTTCTTTGCATTATTCGAGGTCTGACAACACTGCATCTTTTTTGTTATTTTGACCAGTTGTCATTTTCTGCACATAAATGCTCTAAATGACAATATTTTTATTTGGAATTTGGGAGAAATGTTGTCAGTAGTTTATAGAATAAAACAAAAATGTTATTTTTACCCAAACACAGACCTATAAATAGTAAAACTAGAGAAACTGATAATTTTGCAGTGGTCTCTTACTTTTTTCCGCAGCTGTATATAAAACACAGGAACATCAACTTTTTTTGACTGCACTGTGCCTTTAAGCATTAAAGCCTTCAGAGAAAGGTGTAGCCTCATCAGGCTATGCTGTAGTTACTTTAGAAAGAGAATACACCTGCCTCAATAGAAAAGAATATTGACATACTGTATTTTGTTGTATGTATCTGCAGTACAGGGAGTGGCTTTGGCAGGAGTACAAAGAGAGTCCCTTCAACGACGAGGATGACATCCGCATCCTGTTGGCCAAGAGTCTCAAACCCAATGGGGTGGGGGTGGAGGTGAATGCTGAGCCGCCGACCCCTCCAGGATTGCAGGGTACCTGAGACCCCTTATCCAGGTCTGAAGACTTGCACTGTGGGATGATACCACTCTGGCGCCTAGGGGGGGGGGGGGGGGGGGGGGGGGGGGATTCTCTCTCTGTCAGTACACTGTTGGACCAGAATCTCTCTCTGTTGTTGTCCCTCTACTGGAGAAGACTGGGGGAGGATGGGCCGGCGGATGCACCATTTTGAGAATGGAATGTTTATTTATGTTTATATGTATTGTTTTATTACCCCTAATTGATGTATATAGCTATGTATGCTGTTTTTCTAAACCTTGAAAATGTATGATATTGTTGTCATGTCATTTGTTTCTGCTTGAAGCTACATCAGCTTTTTGTGCATTAATAAAAGGATTAAAGAGGAAATTATAACTGAGATGAAATGGTTATTAACTACTGGTATGCCTGCTGTGCTGTCAGATACAATGTGATGACAGACGGACATGCTCTGCTCTTTTTACCTCTCTGTTTCCGGGTCTATTTCCTGTTTGTGTAGCATGCAAAGGAAGCCTTGCATGACAGGAGTAAAAACAACCTTTTCAGCCCCCTCTGTCAGCATTGGAGGGATACAGATGCTGGGCATGAGTGCAACATGGCTCTGAAAAGTGATGCATTTGAATTTGTCTGTTGCCTACTTACCCACGTACCTACCTATAATGTAGCCCTCCTCCAATAGATATAGCGTACAGCCTATGAATTAGACCCAGTTGATATTTAAGGTTATGTGCATTACACAACCACTGGAGGGCAGAAGTATAACCACAGTAAAACAAATTGAGGCTATATTGTATTTGTGAATAAAATGAAAACTCTCCACTAAATTATCCCATATTTTCATCAATGTAATAGGCTACTGTAATTAACTTGCAAGAGGTTTGACTAAATGAAATTGAAATTCTATTTTAATTGCCATATAACTACATTATGAAAATGCTATCAACTCAACAACAATTATATTTTAGGATTTTATAATACAGTATTTAAAGCATAAACATATAATGATAATGGGATCGATTGACATAATGACGATTTTAGGGAGTTTCTGTTTTGATATTGAGCACAGGTAATTGTTCCATTCCATGGTGGCGTTTGCTTCCTGTGTTTGCCACTCCTGTGTTTGCCACTCGAGAGGGATTCCCCATCCACAGACTGTAGGTTGTTCTCGACAAGCTTCAGAGAACTGCAGCTCCTCCCAGTCGTGACACCGACACATCAAGATGTGACTGACTATATTTAAGAATATGGCACCCCATGTTCTCACTTGAGAACAGTGTTAGTGAAATCGATTTCATCACTTCACATGGTTAGAGGTAAGGAATTTATTCTCACTCATAGTAGGCAATAGGGAACATAAGCGAGGGGAAAGTTCTGAAGTTGATGCAGTGATATTGATGCGCTTAAGATTATTATGTTATTAATTTTTTGCATGTGATTATAACATTGTTTTTCTGAGCCTACAAAATATGAATTACATTGTCTTTGAATTAAAATAGCCCAATACATCCAGAAGGTTTTCATTCTTAAATTAAGGCCTACTTATTTTGTATGTGATTTATTTAATGCAATTAAAAAATTAATAATCATATATATATATATATATATATATATATATATATATATATATATATATATATATATATATGTGTGTGTTTAATCTAAAAATATATACTTTCAAAAAAATGGTGATATTATAGCCTAATTTCATGAAAGCATGGCATTTTTATAAAAGCATGACTTCCCTGATAACTTTCATCACTCAGCACCAACTGACATTGTTTTGCTTTGCATGATGAACGGACTTATTGCAACCCACATTATCTTTATGCCCATCCTTCTATTGCATGTGCTTTTTGACAGAGATGAACTTAGAGGGGGACAGCGGCCTGTCAGTGAGCTGTGGCAATGGGAAACTTAGACAGTGGCTGATCGATCAGATTGACAGCAGTAGCTATCCTGGACTGGTTTGGGAGAATGGCGAGAAATGCATTTTCAGGATCCCGTGGAAACATGCGGGCAAACAGGACTACAATCGAGACGAGGATGCTGCACTCTTCAAAGTGCGTTTGGAACAACACACTCACTTCACCATACTTCTCTACAGTTTTTTTCTTCTTCTACTTTTTAGTTACTATTTACAACTTGTGAATATTGAATATAGTGTGCAGGTACCCCATAAAGTATTGCTAACTCAATCATATTAATTCACTCAATTCACACTCCAGACCTAGTCTACTTGAGCAGGTGTAATTTATAGTATTTGCTATAGACTACCTGTTGGTTTTTTACTACAGTATAACAACTGATAATCTTTGTTCAAGGCAATGGATATTTGTTTAAGGCAGAGACCATTTAATGTTGATTTTGATGCAGGCCTACTAATGCCTTACTTATCGCCAGATAAATTGAAATTGAATGCAGAGAGAAAGTGTAAATCAGTCAACTTATTATGCTGTTGATTATTGCAGGCTTGGGCATTGTTCAAAGGGAAACACAGGGAAGGAGTGGACAAACCAGACCCCCCCACATGGAAGACCAGACTGCGATGTGCTCTTAACAAAAGTAATGACTTTGATGAGCTGGTGGAGAGAAGCCAACTTGATATATCAGATCCTTACAAAGTCTACAGAATCATACCGGAGGGAGCTAAGAGAGGCAAGTTTTGTTAATCTAATTGCTATATTTCCAAAGTCAAGTCAATGACACAAGTGTAAACTGCTGTCAGAAATGTCTACTGTACCATAATTAAATGATATAGGCTACTGGCAGGTGATGTCACAGATTTCATATGTCAAAGGTAATGAAAACACTAACTCTGAACATAGCCAAGCAGACACACATACAGCCGGCAATGTTTCATTTTGCCTCCATCGTCTCATGAGGCAGGAAGCAGAGAGGAAGCCGATGCGTCTAACAAAAAGGCCTCAGGGCTTTTTTTTAGAGGGCTTCGGTTACCCAGAGCAGAATGCCCAACATACACACTTAACCTTGCATAACGAAGGCTGAAGGCTAGACAGAAGACCCCTTTGTCACTCTCATATGTCAGTTAGGAGTGACTCTTAGAGACCAAATCTGCAACCTGGGGATGAGACACTTTAAACGAATGTATTGCAAGCATGTATAGTTTTTGTATTCAACTTTTTGAAGGGGCTGAATAGCATGTGAGCTCTGTTGAATAGGCACTAATCATGTTGACTATAGTGAATGTCTTCTTATTGAGGATCAAACACATTTCTGAGGGACCACCACATCATTTTGGATTGTGCATTGTAGATTCGAACATAGAGAATTCTATGATGTGATGTCTAATGTTACATTTCTGTAATGCAGGGATCAAGATGGCAGAGACAATGACACACATGAGCTCCGAGAGCAGCTACCCCATGCACTCTCTGTACCCAACTCTACACAGCCAGGTAAAGTCATTTGTTTACCCCTGCAACAGGTTCCTTCAATGGTCTTAAGATCTTCAAAGTTCTTCACAGCTCTCTCTCCCTGTTGTGTGTGGATCAGGAACCCATCACTGCCTGACTAACATCTGTCTCCTCTCCCCCTGGCCTGTCTCAAGGTGTCTGGTGGCTACATAGTTCCCCAGGAGAGGAAGGAGAGGAGGGAGTACAGCCACACACAGGACCACCAGCAGCAGCCTCAGCCTCAGCCTCAGCACCACCAGCCACCTCACGTTGAGCTGCAGTACAGTCAGTGCCACTACCCACCGCCACTCAGCCGACCGTGGCACACCGGGCCACACACAGATAACGGTGAGACATAGCATGGCCATGGGCATGGGGTGGGCACTGATTATAGGAAATAACAGATAATGGAGAGATAAGATTACACAGTATATTTTTGTTTATTTATTTATTTAACCTTTATATAAACGCAACAAGAAACAATTCAGTTACAGTTCATATAAGGAAATCAGTCAATTGAAATAAATAAATAAACCCCTAATCTATGGATTTCACATGACTGGGAATACAGATATGAATCTGTTGGTCACAGATACCTTAAAAAAAGGTAGGGGTGTGGATCAGAAAACAAGTCAGAATCTGGTGTGACCACCATTTGCCTCATGCAGTGCGACACATCTCCTTTGCATAGAGTTGATCAGGCTGATGATTGTGCCCTGTGGAAATGTTGTCCCACTCCTCTTCAATGGCTGTGCGAAGTCGCTGGATATTGGTGGGAACTGGAATACGCTGTCGTACATGTCGATCCAGTCCAGAGCATCCCAAACATGCTCAATTGTTGACATGTCTGGTGAGTATACAGGCCATGGGAGAAATGGGACATTTTCAGCTTCCAGGAAATGTGTACAGATCCTTGCGACTTGGGGATGTGCATTATCATACTGAAACATGAGGTGATGGCGGCAGATGAATGGCACGACAATGGGCCTCAACATCTCGTCACGGTATCTCTGTGCATTCAAATTGCCATCGATAAAATGCAATTGTGGTCGTTGTCCGTAGTCTATGCCTGCCCATACCATGACCCCACCCCCACCATGGGGCACTCTGTTCACAACGTTGACATCAGCAAACCATAACCCCACCATAGGGCAGGTGAAGAATCCGGAAGTAGAAGTCCTGGGCTGCCATGATTACGCAGGGTCTGCGGTTGAACGTACTGCCAAATTCTCTAAAACATTACATTTTCTGGCAGGAGCTCTGGTGGGCATTTTTTTCTCATCAATCTACACACAATACCCCACAATGACAAAACAAAAACATTTACATAAGTATTCCGACCCTTTACTCAGTATTTTGTTGAAGCACCTTTGGCAGAGATTACAGATTCAAGTCTTGTGACGCTACAAGTTTGACACACCTGTATTTGGGGAGTTTCTACCATTCTTCTCTACAGATCCTCTGAAGCTCGGTCAGGTTAGATGGGGAGCGTTGCTGCACAGCTATTTTCAGGTCTCTCCAGAGATGTTAGATCGGGTTCAAATCCAGACTCTGGCTGGGCCACTCAAGGACATTCAGAGACTTGTCCCGAATCCACTCCTGCGTTGTTTTGCTGTATGCTTAGGGTCGATGTCCTGTTGGAAGGTGAACCTTCACCCCAGTTTGATGTCCTGAGGGCTCTGGAGCAGGTTTTCAACAAGGATCTCTCTGTACTTTGCTCTATTCATCTTTCCCTCAAGCCTGACTAGTCTCCCAGTCCATGCCACTGAAAAACAACCGCACAATATGATGCAGCCACCACCATGCTTTACCGTAGGGATGGTGCCAGGTTTCCTCCAGACGTGACTCTTGGCATTCAGGCCAAAGAGTTCAATCTTGGTTTCATCAGACCAGAGAATCTTGTTTCTCTTAGGTGTTTCTTGGCAAACTCCAAGCGGGCTGTCATGTGCTTTTTACTGAGGAGTGGCTTCCGTCTGGTCAGTCTACCATAAAGGGCTGATGGGTGGAGTGAGGCAGGGATGGTTGTCCTTCTGGAAGGTTCTCCCATCTCCACAGAGGAACTCTGGAGTTCTGTCAGAGTTACCATCGGGTTCTTGGTCACCTCCCTAACCAAGGCCCTTCTCTCCCGATTGCTCAGTTTGGCCGGGTGGCCAGCTCTAGGAAGAGTCTTGGTGGTTCCAAACGTCTTGCATTTAAGAATGATGGAGGCCACTGTGTTCTTGGGGACCTTCAATACTGCAGAACTTTTTTGGTACCCTTCCCGAGAACTGTGCCTCAACACAATCCTGTCTCGGAGCTCTAACGGACAATTCCTTCAACCTCATGGCTTGGTTATTGCTCTGACATGCACTGTAAACTGTGGGACCTTATATAGACAGGTGTGTGCCTTTATAAATCATGTCCAATCAATTGAATTTACCACAGGTGGACTCCAATCAAGTTGTAGAAAGATCTCCAGAATTATCAATGGAAACAGGATGCAACTGAGCTCATTTTCGAGTCTCATAGCAAAGAGTCTGAATACTAATGTAAATAAGGTATTTCTGTTTTTTATTTGCAAACATTTCTAAAAACCTGTTTTTGCTTTGTTATTATGGGGTATTGTGTGTAGATTGATATGGAAAAAAGTTAATTTAATCCACTTTAGAATAAGGTTGTAACGTAACAAAATGTGGAAAAAGTGAAGGGTTCTGAATACTTTCCGAATGCACTGTGTGTGTATATATATATGTGTGTGTGTGTGTGTGTATATGTATATACATACACTACCAGTCAAAAGTTTGGACACACCTACTCATTCAAGGGTTTTCCTTCATTTTTTATATGTTTGACATTGTAGTATAATAGTGAAGACATCAAAACTATGAAAAAACACATATGGAATCATGTAGTAACCAAAAAAGTGTTAAACAAATCAAAATATATTTTATATTTGACATTCTTCAAATAGCCACCCTTTGCCTTGATGACAGCTTTGCACATTCTTGGCATTCTCTCAATCAGCTTCATCAGGAATGCTTTTCCAACAGTCTTGAAGGAGTTCCCACATATGCTGAGCACTTGTTGGCTGCTTTTCCTTCACTCTGCAGTCCGACTCATCCCAAACCATCTCAATTGGGTTGAGGTCGGGGGATTGTGGAGGCCAGGTCATCTGATGCAGCACTCCATCACTCTCCTTCTTGGTAAAATAGCCCTTACACAGCCTGGAGGTGTGTTGGGTCATTGTCCTGTTGAAAAACAAATGATAGTCCCACTAAGCCCAAACCAGATGGGATGGCGTATCGCTGCAGAATGCTGTGGTAGCCATGCTGGTTAAGTGTGCCTTGAATTCTAAATAAATCACAGACAGTGTCACCAGCAAAGCACCCCCACACCATAACACCTCCTCCTCCATGCTCTAAGGTGGGAAATACACATGCAGAGATCATCCGTTCACCCACAACGCGTTTCACAAAGACACGGCGGTTGGAACCAAAAATCTCAAATTTGGACTCCAGACCAAAGGAAACATTTCCACCGGTCTAATGTCCATTGCTTGTGTTTCTTGGCCCAAGCAAGTCTCTTCTTCTTATTGGTGTCCTTTAGTAGTGGTTTATTTGCAGCAATTCGACCATGAAGTCCTGATTCACACAGTCTCCTCTGAAAAGTTGATGTTGAGATGTGTCTGTTCCTTGAACTCTGTGAAGCATTTATTTTGGCTGCAATTTTTGAGGCCGGTAACTCTAATTAACTTATCCTCTGCAGCAGAGGTAACTCTGGGTCTTCCATTCCTGTGGTGGTCCTCATGAGAGCCAGTTTCATCATCGTGCTTGATGGTTTTTGCGACTGACCTTCATGTCTTAAAGTAATGATATATAAAAGACTGTGTACTATTGAATAGGCTAAGGTCAGTGTATGACAGAATTGCCAGAGGTGTATTTGAGCTAAGAAACATTTCACAGACAAACACGTTGTAAAAACAGCTTTAGGTTGACAATGAATGCTTTAGTGGTTGCCACTTCTCCAAAATATTGAGGGTTTCATTTGACAAAATGTCCCACACACACACACACACACACACACACACACACACACACACACACACACACACACACACATACACAGACATTGTAGAAACAGATTTAGGTTGACAGTGAAGGCTTTGGTGGCTTCCACTTCTCCAAAATATTGAGGGCTTCATTTGACATGCTCTAGTCAGGTTCCTCCTGATATAAAATCATGACAACAAGGTGTAGTGCTTTATCCCCCATGAAATGTACTCCGTAAACACTCATTCATTGGTTAATAACGATACTCCTTTAATCTTTTCCTCCCAGGTAATCAGTTCACTGGCTCCTTCTATTCATACTCCTCCTCAGAGTCCCACCCCACAGCATTTACTATGGAGCACAACATGGCCACCCTTTCTGGTAAAGACATATTTATTCTATTACTACTATATTACTTAGTTACAACTTCTGCTGCTACTGCTACTGCTACTACTGCTACACCACTGAACAGTGCAATGACAGCTGGACACAAAGGGCAGGAGTAGTAAGATGTAGTGGAGCGTGCTGAATTGTTATCTCTTGTTACCAGAAGCTATTTATAGGACAATTACTTCCCTAATCTGGGTTTTAATAAGGTCAGTTGTTTGTCAGTGATGGAGCTGGAAACAGTGCTCATATTAAGGGTTTTATATTAGTATATTGTTGATGTTTTAGATGGGTGACTGTAGAGACCACTACAGTTAAAGTAACATGATTATAAAGTTGTAAATTTCAGTAGTTTGCTAACTACCTTTATTCACTTTATTTCTATATACACTGTTTGTACATTCGTTTTCAGACAGCTGTCCACCTTGTTTTATTTGGAATACTTCTACTCACTCGTTTATTCTCTAACAATCTCCCCCCTCTCTCCTCCAGACTTCCGACTGCACGTGTCCCTGTTCTACCGTGAGTCTTTGGTCAAGAAGGTAACCACCTCTAGTCCTGAAGGCTGCCAGATCACCTCTTCTTCCTCCTCCTCTTCCTCTCCGTCCTCCCCCTGCCCTGAGGACAAGCTGTACAGCGGTGCAGAAGTGGTGCTGTTCCCTTCCCCTTACCCCGAGTCTCAGAGGAGGGGGTCGGAAAAGCTACCCAATGTCCTGGAGAGGGGTGTGCTCCTGTGGATGGTGTCAGATGGGCTCTATGCCAAGCGGCTGTGCCAGAGCCGAGTGTACTGGGAGGGCCCGCTAGCCCCATACACGGACAAACCCAACAAACTGGAGAAAGAACAGACCTGCAAGCTGTTTGACACTCAGCAGTTCCTCACTGGTGAGAAACAGTATTTTGATTGTGATGATGATGATAATGGTGGTGGTGATGATGATGATAATGAAGATGATTGGAGGAGGCCTACTGTAGAATGCCGCTAAGAATGTAAAAGTCCCTCTCCGTGCTGTGGTATCAGTGGGTAAGAGATTTGTCACATTCTTAGCAGCGACCTTTCCGTGGAGTCTCTCCATGAAACAGCCCCCGTTTTCATGTGTAGCTCTAGTTTACATGTGCACCACTCATTTTTCACACGAAGGACTTCCTTTCAAATGACTGGAAAAAGGTTTCACTGACTCCTCTTTCTGATTCTGTGAACCTCTTTCTCTCAGCATAGCATGTTCCTTGCAGTGCTACTGTATCACAATACCAATCCCTCTTAAGCTGAAGGTCCTTCCTTCACGAGCAAAGTAGCTGTTTTCAGCTGTTAGAGGGCAAACTGGTGATTTGGGGTGAAATAAGTCAATAAACTCATTGTACACTCCCTCCTTCCAGAGCTGCAGGGGTATGCCCACCATGGTCGTCCCATGCCCAGGCACCAGGTGGTGCTGTGTTTCGGAGACGAGTACCCGGACCCCCAGCGCCAGACCAAGATGATCACAGCACAGGTACAGTACACTACATACTTTCACTGTTTTACTGCATTACGATCAGTCGAAAATGAGAAAGGTTTAAACAAAATGATTTCTCTATAGCCTGCCTAGCCTTGTTAGTCATGATGTGAAAGGACTCTATCAACTGGTTCCAAATTGCTCCTACCCCTCTCCCTTGACCCCAAGTCATCAATGTTTGTAGATCTGTAAGGTCTGGATATGTATAAGCAGTGCAGTGCATATTGCTTACACCTTACAGATTTGCAGAAACTAAGGTAGGGAGAGATTTGGTAAATGTGAGCAATCTTTATTAATTATCATTCATCATTCATAGAGTGACCTCTGTGTGTGTTGCAGGTGGAGCCAATGTTTGCCAGGGACCTGTTGTACTTCACCCAGCAGAACAGCAGTCACTACCTGAGGGACTATGAGCTCCAGGGACACACAGAGAGCTCACCTCCAGCTCCAGGAGACTACCAGAGGACCCTCCAACACATGCAGGAGTAACACATACAAACATGCCTCAGGAGCCATGGACATGAATGTAGATAGACCAATGAGTTTTACTTCACAACTACTGAAAGATATACAGTATACTCAGGTCTTGGACTAAAATGCCTTACTGTGATTTCGACATAAGACTGGACTGTGCCACCATCATCAGTGTCAACAGATTGAGACAAAGATTATCAGTGTTCAAAATGTGCTGAAAGTATCTACCCAAGTTTGTATAGCCTTAAAATTATTTTTGTAATCATAATTTCTTTGTCTTTTTATTAAAGAATATGAAAAACAGAATCAGTCTTTTGATTTGTAAATCTGTACATTGCACTTCTGTTGTAATAGTTGTTTCAATAGCACGTCTGGATGCGAGTGTCTAGGTGAATGTGTTTGATTGATTTTCGAAAAACTGCACGAGGTAGCTGTAGATAATTGACGTGATGGTTTTATGCTGACCCTAGCATTGGTTCCCACTTGATAGCTAGGTAAGAAAGTAGTGTGGTTTCTGACCTAGGGCATTGGGCCAATGATAGTACGAAGTCTCAGCTGAGCATACCTTCCTCTTCCGTCGCGCTATCTCTCTCTCTCTCCCTATCGCTCTCTCTCTCTCTCTCTCTCCCAACTCACACTCACACTCACACTCCCCTCACACTCACACTCACACTCACACTCACACTCACACACTCACACTCACACACACACACACACACGGTTTGAGGGTGGGGGCACGAGGACCAATGTGAAACAGAGGGTGACTGACAGACGCAGGAAGCACCAGTCACAGGTGCACAGGACGTGAAGTAGACCTCAGGAGAAAGGGAGAAGAGGCCAAATGTGACCCGTTTCAAGAAGCTAGGCATACAGTATGTCACACGTTATTACTTCACAGGAGAGGCATTTGAAGGAAAAATGCTTTCTGGAACACGTGAACTTTCATGTGCCTTAATAACAAACTCGTATGCCATCTGTAATAGTTGGTTTAGCTACTAAAAAAGACAGGAGCCTTCCTGCTAGCCATGATTGGCTGAGATATGCCGAGAGATAAGTTCGGATTGGTCTGCCATGTAGCACGCTTCTGTCTATTTATTATTATTAATTTTTTTTCCCCACCTTTATTTAACCAGGTAAACCAGTTGAGAACAAGTTCTCATTTACAACTGCAACCTGGCCAAGATAAAGCAAAGCAGTGCGATAAAAACAACAACACAGAGTTACATATGGGGTAAAACAAAACACAAAGTCAAAAATACAACAGAAATACATATATATACAGTGTGTGCAAATGTAGCAAGTTATGGAGGTAAGGCAATAAATAGGCTATAGTGCAAAATAATTACAATTAGTATTAACACTGGAATGATAGATGTGCAAGAGATGATGTGCAAATAGAGATACTGGGGTACAAATGAGCAAAATAAATAACAATATAGGGATGAGGTAGTTGGGCGGGCTAATTTCAGATGGGCTGTGTACAGGTGCAGTGATCGGTAAGGTGCTCTGACAACTGATGCTTAAAGTTAGTGAGGGAGATAAGTGTCTCCAGCTTCAGAGATTTTTGCATTTCGTTCCAGTCATTGGCAGCAGAGAACTGGAAGGAATTGCGGCCAAAGGAGGTGTTGGCTTTGGGGATGACCAGTGAGATATACCTGCTGGAGCGCAGACTACGGGTGGGTGTTGCTATGGTGACCAATGAGCTAAGATAAGGCGGGGATTTGCCTAGCAGTGATTTATAGATGGCCTGGAGCCAGTGGGTTTGGCGACGAATATGTAGTGAGGACCAGCCAACAAGAGCGTACAGGTCACAGTGGTGGGTATTATATGGGGCTTTGGAGACAAAACGGATGGCACTGTGATAGACTACATCCAATTTGCTGAGTAGAGTGTTGGAGGCTATTTTGTAAATGACATCGCCGAAGTCAAGGATCGGTAGGATAGTCAGTTTTACGAGGGCATGTTTGGCAGCATGAGTGAAGGAGGCTTTGTTGCGAAATAGGAAACCGATTCTAGATTTAACTTTGGATTGGAGATTCTTAATGTGAGTCTGGAAGGAGAGTTTACAGTCTAACCAGACACCTAGATATTTGTAGTTGTCCACATACTCTAGGTCAGACCCGTCGAGAGTAGTGATTCTAGTCGGGTGGGCGGGTGCAAGCAGCGTTCGGTTGAAGAGCATGCATTTAGTTTTACTAGTGTTTAAGAGCAGTTGGAGGCTACTGAAGGAGTGTTGTATGGCATTGAAGCTCGTTTGGAGGTTTGTTAACACAGTGTCCAATGAAGGGCCAGATGTATACAAAATGGTGTCGTCTGCGTAGAGGTGGATCTGAGAGTCACCAGCAGCAAGAGCGACGTCATTGATATACACAGAGAAAAGAGTCGGCCCAAGAATTGAACCCTGTGGCACCCCCATAGAGACTGCCATAGGTCCAGACAACAGGCCCTCCGATTTGACACATTGAACTCTATCTGAGAAGTAGTTGGTGAACCAGGCGAGGCAGTCATTTGAGAAACCAAGCCTATTTAGTCTGCCAATAAGAATGCGGTGGTTGACAGAGTCGAAAGCCTTGGCCAGGTCAATGAAAACGGCTGCACAGTACTGTCTATTATCGATCGCGGTTATAATATCGTTTAGGACCTTGAGCGTGGCTGAAGTGCACCCATGACCAGCTCGGAAACCGGATTGCATAGCGGAGAAGGTACGGTGGGATTCGAAATGTTCGGTGATCTGTTTGTTGACTTGGCTTTCAAAAACTTTTGAAAGGCAGGGCAGGATGGATATGGGTCTGTAACAGTTTGGATCTAGAGTGTCACCCCCTTTGAAGAGGGGGATGACCGCGGGAGCTTTCCAATCTCTGGGGATCTCAGACGTTACGAAAGAGAGGTTGAACAGGCTAGTAATAGGGGTTGCGACAATTTCGGCGGCTAATTTTAGAAAGAAAGGGTCCAGATTGTCTAGCCCAGATGATTTGTAGGGGTCCAGATTTTGCAGCTCTTTCAGAACATCAGCTGTCTGGATTTGTGTGAAGGAGAAGCGGGGGGGGCATGGGCAAGTTGCAGCGGAGGGTGCAGAGCTGGTGGCCGGGGGTAGTGGTAGCCAGGTGGAAAGCATGGCCAGCCGTAGCAAAATGCTTGTTGAAATTCTCGATTATTGTAGATTTATCGGTGGTGATAGTGTTTCCCAGCCTCAGTGCAGTGGGCAGCTGGGAGGAAGTGCTCTTATTTTCCATGGACTTTACAGTGTCCCAAAACTTTTTGGAGTTAGTGCTACAGGATGCAAATTTCTGTTTGAAAAAGTTAGCCTTTGCTTTCCTAACTGCTTGTGTATATTGGTTCCTAACTTCCCTGAAAAGTTGCATATCGCGGGGGCTATTTGATGCTAATGCAGTACGCCACAGGATGTTTTTGTGCTGGTCAAGGGCAGTCAAGTCTGAGGAGAACCAGGGGCTATATCTGTTCTTAGTTCTGTATTTTTTGAATGGGGCATGTTTATTTAAGATTGAGAGGAAATTACTTTTAAAGAACAACCAGGCATCCTCTACTGATGGAATGAGATCTATATCCATCCAGGATACCTGGGCCAGGTCAATTAGGAAGGCCTGCTCGCTGAAGTGTTTTTGGGAGCGTTTGACAGTGATGAGGGGTGGTCGTTTGACCGCGGACCCGTTACGGACGCAGGCAATATGGCAGTGATCGCTGAGATCCTGGTTGAAGACAGCTGAGGTGTATTTAGAGGGTAAGTTAGTCAGGATGATATCTATGAGGGTACCCATGTTTACGGATTTAGGGTTGTACCTGGTAGGTTCGTTGATAATTTGTGTGAGATTGAGGGCATCTAGTTTAGATTGTAGGATGGCCGGGGTGTTAAGCATATCCCAATTTAGGTCACCAAGCAGTACGAACTCTGAGGATAGACGGGGGGCAATCAATTCACATATGGTGTCCAGGGCACAGCTGGGGGCTGAGGGGGGTCTGTAGCAAGCGGCAACAGTGAGAGATTTATTTCTGGAAAGGTGGATTTTTAGAAGTAGAAGCTCAAACTGTTTGGGCACAGACCTGGATAGTATGATAGAGCTCTGCAGGCTATCTCTACAGTAGATTGCAACTCCACCCCCTTTGGCAGTTCTATCTAGACGGAAAATGTTATAGTTGGGGATGGAAATTTCAGAATTTTTGGTGGCCTTCCTAAGCCAGGATTCAGACACTGCTAGAACATCAGGGTTGGCGGAGTGTGCTAACGCAGTAAATAACTCAAACTTAGGAAGGAGGCTTCTGATATTTACGTGCAGAAAACCAAGACTTTTACGGTTACAGAAGTCAACAAATGATAGCTCCTGGGGAGTTGGAGTGATACTGGGGGCTGCAGGGCCTGGGTTAGCCTCTACATCACCAGAGGAACAGACGAGGACTAGAATAAGGATACGACTAAAGGCTTTAAGAACTGGTCTTCTAGTGCGTTGGGTACATAGAAAAAAGGGGGCAGTTCTCCGGGCGTTGTAGAAAAGATTCAGGGCATTATGTACAGAAAAGGATATGGAAGGATATGAGTACAGTTCAGGTAACCCTAAGCGTTGGGTAACAATGAAAGAGATAGCGTCACTGGAGGCACCGATTGAGCCGGTCTCGGCGTGTATGGGGGGTGGAACAAAGGAACTATTTGAGGCAGTTTGAGAGGGACTAGGGGTTCTACAGTGAAATTGTATAATAAGAACTAACCCAAACAGCAATAGGCAAGGCATAATTGACATGGGAGAGAGGCATAAAGCAGTCACAGGTGTTATTAGAGAGAGCTAAGACAACAACTGGAAATAGCGATAACATTTGGGCTAAGGCTAAACAGAATAAACAGGACAGGGTACCGTGTAAAGGAACAGTCCAGCAGGCATCAGCTGGGCAGCTGAGTGATCATAAGGTCCAGTGAACAGCAATATGTGAGTCCGAGAGCAGTTCAAATTGGTGCTTCAGCACAGCTAGCAGGGAGCACAGTTGTAGTTTGCGTGTGCTAGCGGGCC